GTGACAAGTTGTGTCCCACGGCCAACGGGGCTTAGCTTGGTTACACTGTTTTCCCTGTCCGTGTTGATTGAAGACCGTCTGTTGATGTGGATGGTAGTCAGGTCATAGACTTATTATCCTGAGCACATACTTGCTTATGAGAGCGGAAAGGCTCGTTACGCTCTTGTCGTGGGTTCTGACTCTTTCGGGCCGATTGATTGGAGGCGGGAAAAGTTGGAGGTCTAAGCACCAAATTGAGACCATGTCTCAAATGTGGGGGCTTGGAGTCCAAGTTTGGAAGGGGACCTAGACCCCGTGATAGGAGTGGAATGGGTTGGTCTTGTTTGTGCTTGGGATACAAACGGGGCGTGTGTTTTGAGGTACCTAGCTAGGATACATTGGTTCGCAAATCGGGCGTTTTCGTGAGACGGTACAACTTGGCTATGGTCTAGCACCGTAGTAAGAACTGGAATATGAAAGATGGTAAAATGGTTCTCATTGCTCAACCCTTGCTTGAAGGTAGTGCAGGTGCTTACCTAGAATGTTAACTAATGAAGTAATCATGACTGTTAATTAAACTTGATCTTAAGGACATACTTCTAGTAATGCTTTTCGTAAACAAAAAGAAAATAGCAAACCCATATTGCCTATCATACCCCTTGGAGTCGGGAAACTATTTCCACTAGTCGGGTAAGTCTTGCGAGTACATTGTGTACTCAGGGTTTATTTTACCCTATTGCAAGTGCAGCTTGAGGAGTAGCTCTTGTGTGGAGGATTCTTTTGGTGGGCACAGACAGATCCTTGTATCGTTTCCGCTTGATATTTATTTTCATTTCGCTATTAATTATCGCACTCTGAACCCTAGTATTGTAATAAATAATTTCCAAGAACTCTTGTTATATGGAATGGACTAAGTATTGTAAGATCGTACTTATTATTGGATTCTGGAGATAAAACGTGGATTGATTCGAGTTCTCCCATAGGGTGTGCTCGACGGAACTATCCGATGTAGCTAACTTTCGGGGTGCTTAGTGTCTAGTGGAAGACGAACGCCTCCGAAAGCGTGTTATTTCGGGCGGTTTTGCCACATTAAGGGGGTATGAACTAGTAGCTTGACCTAGGTGAGTCTAATAGGTTAGGTGTGGTGCACACTTGTCAAACTTAGCACTAGGTAGCTCAGGAATAGCCCAAAGATCAAGTGGAGTCAACTTCATTCACAAAGGATTTTAAATTGAAAGTGAATGGAGGGTCAAAATGTTGATCGAACGCTGGTTTGGTGATGACCGGACTCAGAGGTGTTGCATCCGGTCAGTGATTAGCGCGTGCAGCAGAAGCTGAGGAGCGACCGGATGTTGCACAGTGTTTAGAACTGGACGTGCCTCTAGTTGTATCTGTAGCAGTGGGGCCTCGTTGTTAGGGAGGATCTAACGCTGAATAATAAATGGCCAGATTCTGAGCTTGTAGCGTTAGGTCAATATCAGAGAGGGTCCAGAGACCAAAATTCCTGACCGGATGCGTCCGGTGGATGTTGACCGGACGCTGGTTAACGTCAGGTCACTCCAACGGCTCTCTCTGACAAGGTTAGCCAATTGCAGCTATTGTGTACTGACCTGCTCGTCCGGTCATGAGGACCTGCACGTCTGGTCACCTCATGTTTTGCTGAGTTGGACAGTAACAGTCATGTTTTGAATGGGGGGTATAAATACTTCTCCTGCTCGTCCAACTTATCTCTCTTGCCCATTTGTTCAGCTGAGGAAATCATTCGGTGTGCAAGGGAGAGTAAGAGCCTAGTGGGGTGATTGAGATTTGCTAATCTAAGATTAAGGACCTCATTAGTGCATAGAGAGTAGCAAGTGTGCATCCACTCTTCTCATTAGGCTTGGTTTGGTCAAGTGAGTGTTCGTGCTTGTTACTCTTGGTGATCGCCATCACCTAGACGGGTCGGTGGTGATTGGAAGCTTAGTGATCATCCGGCGGAGCTTGTGGATGACCCAAGTCATGGTGTGAGCGGTTGTGGGCGATTCACCACGACGGAGTGTCAAAGAATCAGCTCATAGAGAGCACTTGATCCTTGCGTGGATCAAGGGGGAGCTACACCCTTGCGCGGGTGCTCCAACGAGGACTAGTGAGGAGTGGCGACTCTCCGATACCTCGAAAAAACATCGTGTGTTCTCTCCTTCTCTTTACCTTGAGCATTTATATTTGAGCAATTCAATTCATGTCTTTATATTCTTAGAATTGCCATGCTAGAGTAGAATTGAAACCTAGTGTGCAAAACTTTTGTACGGTAGAATAATAGAAACACTTCTAAGCACAAGAGGGTGAAATGGACTAAGTGTAGGGCTTAATTATTGCAAGAAATTTAGAATTAGCCCAATTCACCTCCTTGGGCATCTTGATCCTTTCAGATGTGTTGATAATAGGCTAATGAATCTTTGGCTAGAAGTAGTTCAATTAGCTTCTACTATTGTTCTTAGTGATGATGAGGATGCTCTAATAAGGCAGTTCACATCTAATGGAGTTTGGCATTTTACGGTTCATGTTCCTGTTGCTTGGCACTTGAAAATTCCTCCTAGGTACATTTCTTCCTTTGGTTGCTATCCAAAAACAAGCTGCTAACTAGAGATAATTTAAGTTTAAGGAGGAAAGTAGAAGGCCAGACTTGTCTGTTTTGTAGGGAAAACGAATCTGTGCAGCACCTTTTCTTTGACTGTGTAGTGGCTAAACAACTCTGGGTTTGTTTATCTGAAGTGATTGGTAAAGATGTAGGTAGCTCCTTTGAATCAATAGGATCTTTGTGGTTAAGTAATAAGAGATTCTTAGTTGCTAATATGTTCTATGTTCATGCCCTGTGGGGGCTTTGGAACCTAAAAAACAGTTTATGTTTTTAGGGTTTTCTTAGGAAGAATGTGAAAATTCTAATCCAGCATGTCGTCAATTTGCTCCAAAACTGGAGTCTGCTATGCCCCAAGGAAAAGCTCTCAAAATTCAATCAGAAACCAGAGAAGCTGAGATTCATAGCCACAAGACCTCATCTGGTACTTGGCTGTCCCAGATATGAGAGGACTGAGCTATCTCTACAAGCATGCGCATGACTGGCAACACCATGCTCTCCCAGCGGATGTGAAAGATCTAGCTAGCTATGAAGAAACAAGTGGCTTATATCCTGTTCTTCAGCACAACTTCAGCAGTACTTTTTAACAAAGGAACAGTATTTTTCTCTCACAAGAAATCAGCATCAGTAGCAACATCAGCTAAATTTCAGCAAAACGAACAGGGCCAAAGATCGGCCTCTTAGTTTGATTCAATTCAAATCTGCTTGGCTCTGTTAATAGTTGCGGATGACGTGTGTTTCTCGCTCGATGTTGAGCTGTATTTTCGTTAAAACTAGATGAATGCTGTAAATGTTCTGTCTTGGTTAATGCTAAGGCTAGGGCAAGGCCCTTAACTCTAAAAAAACTACAGCGTGCTAGTTTCAACTGGTTGTGTCTGCAGCGGCACTTGCTCAATTAGTGCGTAGCTTGGCAAGTGACCCCACCCTAAACTATGTACAATTTTCCTTCTTGGCACTTTTTCCTGAATACCATATATTTCATATGAAGTAAATTAACTTTTAGTAACATAGATAGCAAAAGAACAATATATGAAATTTAAAATCATCGAGCTAATAAGGGTAAGACCACCCTTGCATTTGAGTAATTTGTTAAGAAAACTAGTGGAAACTTCGTTACCGGTGAATAAAGTGCAAAATGGCTATGCTTGAACCCACTTCATAATTGGTCCCTTTCGAGATTTCAAGCAAACTTCACCATTGCGTGTGATGTTACAGATAGCAAAATGAACTCCTTCTCTTAGGGTATATTTGGTAGAGCTCTTCCTACCTTTTGATTTTCTATGGTTGAATTCTATATCAAAAGTAGCAAAATGAACTCCTCCTCTATGGTTGAATTAGTATAAGTTAGTTTTTTTCTAATCTGTGGCTCATAGTTCATACGAGAGAATCATCCCCACAGAAGTAGCATACAACCATTTCTCTAAGATATTATTTGACAGAGCTCCTTTTGTCGAATTGACCTTTAAACTTCTCGTATGAAAAACCACAATGTTTTTTAAGATAGGTATAAAATATAATGATTTACTATATGCCCCCGTATTTCTTAGTGATTTAGATAGCCAACTAAGAAATTTAGCGATTTATCTCTCAAAACAGCAAATAGTCGGCTATAGCGGACAATAGCAGCAGCTAACAGCTAAATGATACATAAAAAATAGCTAAATCATTCTCAAACAGGTATAGCCGGAGATAGCGGCAGTTATAGCCGGAGATAATAAAGATAAAAACATGTGTAGTTAAAATATAATGATTTACTATAGGCTCATGTATTTCTTAGTGTTTTAAATAGCCAGCTAAGAAATTTAGCGATCTCTCTCTCAGAAATAGCAAATAGCTGGCTATAGCGGGCAGTAGCAGCAGATAACGGTTGAATAATATATAAAAAAAATAGTTAAATCCTTTTCAAACAGATATAGCCGGAGATAGTAGCAGGTATAGCCGGAGATAGCAACGGCTAGAGCCGTAGATTTAAAACCTTGGTATTTCTTAAACTTTTTGTTGGAAATTTCTATATTCACTAAACAAGGAGTATTTGCTAAAAAAATAAACAAGGAGAAAAATCAAAGAAATAGATCATTTCCATACACCATACTAATCAAACCCACTCACGAAAAAGGTGAAAACATAAAGCACTCTAGTTCAGAGACTCCAATACATGTCTCTAACAAACTGAACCCAATCAAAGAAAAGGCAATAACATAAAAGATTCAATATTTATGAACTACCAAACCAAATCCATCCAAAAACTTCTCAATCAATATATATAGACACCAAACCCCCGGAAGGTCAGAAGCAAACCCCACAAGGGCGGGCCTAAGGCTGGGCCCATCTCACAGTCTAAAAGAGGGGAGCCACCTCCTTCCCAGTTCACACGGACCCGTGTGTGAGCGCACCCCCTCGTGCTCCCATGGAAGCCACCCCGATCTCCATGAAGCCACCATCGCCGGCGCCGGCGGCGCCACCCCCGTCCACGCTGGAGCCTAGGCACATGCCAACGCATGCCGTCGGAGGGACCGAGCTGGAGCCGTCCAGCATGAACCAGCTGGCAATAGCCCCGGACCCCAAACGGTGAGGGTTCGGCGGCCCCGGACCTGGGGGGCTTTGGTTTCTCGATTTGGGCGTGTCTTGGGGGCGTTGAGTCGTCTGATTTGTGGTGTTTTGTGTTCGAGCAGGCAGAGGGTGGAGGAGTCTGCGGATGGCAACGGGTGCAAGCATTGCGCCTGCAAGAAGTCGAGATGCTTGAAGCTGTAAGGAACCTACTGTACTTTTTTCGACCGATTCGTTTTGGTTCTGTTGGCCGGTCTCAAGGCGGAGTCAGTTTTTCCTGACGCGATTAATATCCTTATCCGTTTAATTAAGAGAGCGGGGGGACGAAATGCTGGATACTATGCGATTTGCATCCATTTTGCCTACAGAGGAAGGGGATTGTCGCGGTTTTTTACTGGTTTAGTTCCTTATAATCAGTGGTTTAAGTCAGGATTTTGGTTGTAATTTGTTGTCTAATTCTCTTGGGCTGTTCTTTCAATAAGTTGCATCTTTCTGTTGCATCTTTCTCTCGTAGGCAATGTAAAATTCAGGTATTTGTGAAATTTGAGTGCCGTGTTGTTGTCAAAATAAATCCAAAACACATTTTTGGCATCTGCTCGCGCTGTTGCACATTATTTGATTACTTCAGGTTGCCTCTAGTACACTCTGAAGTCTGAACCATAGAGCTCAAGATAGGACAACATATACCTGCATGATCAACCAACTAGAAGTCATACTTACTAATTTCCTCTTAAGATGGAATCAGCATCTTCTTATTCTACTACTATATGGAGCAAACTGTGTAGATCAAAATGATGTTAGGCTAAATGATTGGAAATTTAGGTGTTGTTTTCTTGGTGCCCAATGAAGCTTGCCAAAATTTGGCACTAACTTGGATGGGCTAGTGTTTGACAAACCCATTCCCTGTTAGTTATATCTCGTATGTTTCTTTTCATTCCTTAGCTAAATGAGTGCAAGAAAAAACTTTGGTGACAGCCATATGCCCCTATTATGGATTTTATGTGCCAGTCTATGCTATTGATGAAACTGTGAACTATATAAAAAGGGCAGACCCAGTGCCGGAGGCTCCCTCATGAGTGGGGTCTCGGGAAGGGAAAAACCGAGGCAAGCCTTCCCCCTGCAAAATCTGCGGAGAGGCTGCTTCGAACCCACGACCTGGTGACTCAGTGAGACAGCTCTCACCACTGCACTAGGCCTGCCCTTCAAACTGTGAACTATATGGAACTCATAATCAACAATTCAGTATGTTACCTTGTCAATGCCTAGGAGCCCAGTCGACAGTATGTTGCTTTGTAGACATGCGGCTGGTGGAGTCGGGTGTCACTTGGGTAGGCATTGGACAGCCGCCATGTTGAGGAGCCCTAGATCAGTCCATTCCTGGGCTGGGTTAGGATTAGATCCAAGCGATTGCCTTTGCGGATCTAAACACCGCCGCCGCCACACAATTTTGCCCTTGCCACCACTACCCAGAACACAATTGCCCCTCTTGAGCTGCTTTCCAGACTTGGTGGTCAACTGGTGGAGTTGGCCGTTGAGCCTTCGACTATGTTGAAGGCCCTAGCAGCCACTGCCTTGAATTGAGAGGGGGAGGGGGGAGCAGATTAAGAAGCCCTAGGCTCCGCCCACCACCGCCACTCAAGTTCGCCCTTGCTGCCACCCTTGATCTGCTTCTGCTGCTCACCCCTTGCTTCTCTGTCTCGCTGTCGTATTTCTGCTTAGAGGGAGAGAAGGAAATGGGGATATGGGGTGGGGGTGGGGTGATGGGGAATATGAGAGAGGAGGGAGGTAGAAGAGGAGCGGCGGTGGCGGCTTGTTTGGCGTGAGGTGAAGGGGAGATGATATAGGGTTTGTCTTCAATTGGGCCAGTTTGGAACCTTGCTGAGAATGTGAAGTGCATCAGACGTGATCACGTGAAGTAGGAACCTGGCTGTTATATAGAGCTATGGAAATATCTAAAGGACTTTTGGTTCATTTTCATTGTCGGCATCTCAAATTCCTAATTTGTTACCATGTGAAGTGCATTCATTTTTTTCCTGTGATGTTAGTTATTATTTACTAATACCTGCTCACAGTTTCCTAGGTAGATGTTTCTTTGCCATGACTTGCCAGATCCCTGACTATAATATGGGTGTAGGGGGTGTAAGAATGCTTTGTGAATCTCATAAATACATTATCACCGTTTGCATTTGCAGCTATTGCCCATGTTTTTCTGGAGGTGGTTATTGTTCTGATAAGTGTGGCTGCCAACCATGTTTCAACAAAGAAGCTTTTTCAGAAACAGTTCAGACTACTCGCAAGGTGTTACTTTCAAGACAGAAGCGTATGTCAATGAAAATTAATAGGAGACCTGAGGCAAATGCTGAACCTGTGGTTGTTATCCTAACTCAGTTAAATGATGTCACACTGTTTAAATTTCTGTTAGGCTTAATTGTAATTTCAATATTCTGTCACCTATAGGAAGATGCTCACCATTCTTCTTCTTCAACTCCACCAAGGAAAGGTTGCAACTGCAAGAAATCAAGTTGCCTAAAGAAATACTGTGATTGCTACCAGGTTTCATCTTTTTCTCAAGCTCTTTGCTAAATAGGTGAGACAAGATTACCAAACTCATTGTTATGGACAGAATGGGACCGGATGTTCCTTGTTTTGCTGTTGTGACGATTGCCAGAATCCTTTTGGGAAAAATGGTACATACGGAATACTTTTATAGATTGCTCTAATTATACAAGTAATCTTTTATCAGTACATGCCCATAATATATAGCAGTGGTGCTATTGTTATATACTAACTAATGATTGTTTCCCTACTGCAGAAGGCATAATGGCTGATGATAGTAAGCGCTATCTATATACTGGTGCTGATTTGGATCACAGCGAGGGTGAACATGACTTTGTTGTGGAGCGCTCGCCTCGTCTACAATCACCTATCTCGAAGGAGTCTTCTTTTCATCAAACCCCACCTCATCTTAGGGCCTCAAGCAGAGACACACATGTGTTCCCACAGGGGATATCCCAATGGCAGGCACTGCCCCGCTCGTGGCAGCATTGTTCCAACAAGAGGAACAGCAATGACCGGGCGATGGACGACTCTGCAAACTACAAGAACTCAAACCATGACTGGCAGCTATCCAAGCCCGAGGACAGCTACAGCATATCGAAGTGCGTCCAGATCCTGAACGGCATGGTGGAGCTGTCACAGGTGGAGAAATCAGTTGCCCCCGATGTCTTCCTGCAGCCGGGCAACCGGGAAATTTTCATCTCCCTCGGCGGAGACGTGCGCGCCATGTGGCTGAAGCGCAAGATTCAGCACCTGGCCTAGGGTGGGTTTCCTTGTGCCGGCTTTCCGAGTGGAGATTGGAGGGGACATTGAGTTATCTTTTAGATTGTGCATGTTCTGTTGGTCGTGGGCATGCACAGGATTCTAGTTTTTTTTCCCCCTGTATACTGAGGTGTATTTCTGGATTACCATTATGTATTGTCTTTGTAGAGATAGCCGTTTCGAGCCTGGTATCCGTTAATAAAATGAGATTATACACCTACAGGTCGTTTCGCGGCTATGGTTGCCAGACTTGCCGTTTATATATTCCCAATGGTCCATCTCTCTTGCCCACGCGACCTGTCGTCCCAGTGGCCTTCAGTATATTGTACTGTTTTTACCGCTATCAGGTTGGTTGGGAAGTATCAAAAATTTAGAAGCAAATGCTACTGGAGCGTTTTGTTTGGAAAACCTATGCTCGAGTGTTCACACATGCCTTGGAAGTCGGCGCAGCCACGAATAACATACAGAAAGTCTGCGCTTGGCTGGGTTCTGTTAAGAAACGGTGTCTCTCAACAGACACCCCTTCGGTGATCTCATCAACGACGCCACCTGTTTACGAAGTGATGTCATCCATCAATTATAAAATTAGTGGATAGGATTAGACAGTTAGTTTTACTCCAAAGGACATGTCCTTTGAGAACAGTCGTGTACTTTCGTGATACCACTTCACTTGTATAAATATATTTCAGAGATCGATGAAAGAAACAGTTTTCCTAAATCTTTTCATTTATATTCACGTTCTAACACGTTATCAGCACTTTGCTGTCAAGAACGAGAGAAGAGAACGACACCGGCACCCTGATGGCTTGCATCGGAGACACCTTGCATCAAGAACAAGTCTCGAAGGTGTAATCGTCCCTGCAATCAGCAAGAATCACAGTGTAAGCCTTTCATTGGTATCGTTCGTACCTTGCTTTGCAGTTAAAGGATTTGTTTTTCCTTCATCCCTGGCCACCGCGTTCTGTTCCATCGATGAGGATTCACCTACTGTGCCGGGCTGCTGGCCTATGGAAGGTGTTGGCGACGGCTGCTGTGGTCGATCCCGATCGACGGACGGCGGCCTCTCCATCGGTGGAAGTACCCGTGCGGCTGAACGCTCGACTGGAGTGCCAGCGGTTGGCGACTCCACGGCCAGCGGCTTCCTTGCCGTGGCCCCGCGCGGCCTCTGCTCCACGGCCAGGCAGCCTCCGCGCCGACCGACGGCAGGCGGTGACCGCGACCGGCTCCCCGCTGCGCCTAGGCGGCCCTAGCGGCAGGGCACGCAAGTGTGGCCCCGCGCCAGCGGCCTCGTGCCGCGGCCGGCTCCCGCGCCAATGGCTGGCGCCCCGTGCGACCGGCCCGCTCCCTGGCGGCCATTGCCCCCTGCGGCCTCTCGTCCGTCGCTAGCAGCGCCGGCCCGGCGCTTGTGGCCTTGCGCTGCGGCAGCGCCCCCAGCATACTTGACCGCGGCGGCCGGAGGCCAACCCGACGGCCATCCGTGCGGCCATGAGGCTGAACGACGGGAAACCGTCCGTGCCTTGGTGAGCCCGTGAAGGGATAGGAAGTCCGGGCAGGGGGACGGGATGGATGGGAAAGGGCACGGATGTGCGTTTTTGCATAAAAATCATTCTTTCTCCTATGAATTACATGATAATCCTAATAGATTATTGATGTATTCCAAATTTATGTTTAAGTCCTCAGGTTTTAACATACTGCGGTGTACTATATTTACCCCACGTAAATGCTCATTTTACACCTTAGGTTTAAAATGCATTATGATGTATAATATTTACCTCCTGTAGATAAGTATTTTTGAGACCCATGTGTCATCAAAAATTGTATCATGACATGTACTGCTGCAGATGAATTTACCACTATAAATTCGCTTTACAGATCCTATGCTTTCTGGAATTTTTTATACTGTTCAAAGCGTTTGTCCAAATTGGCAAACCCAATAAACATGTAATATTATTATCACGACCTTTGTATTGTAATTACTTTGTTATTTGTAATTTTCATTTTATGTTAAGCCCATTTATGCTTTATTTAAAGCTTATAGCGCTTACATTTTTAATGCAAAATCCATCAAGTGTATTACCTCATTATTTGTATAACACAAATGTTCCACATTGTATGTTGGTCATACACAAGGTAGCGCCATAGTTGCTACTGTGGGATCTACACTAATTTCTTAGTGACTATCCTCAATGTGCGTACCCAACATCACAAATTGAAACATACGGTCTACATCTTTTCACAAGATGACTACCATTAATCAGCATTTCTATTTGCCATACACAAGGTAGCACCATAGTTGCTACTGCGGTATCTACACTAAGTCCGCAACTTAGTGACTATCCTCAACGTGCGTACCCAATTCATTTGCGGATTAACTAAGGTCTACATCAATCTTTTGATGATTACCTTAAAATGTGTTTATACAAATTGCATATACCACTTGGCATCTACTGTTCAACAGACTATATCCATATTATTAGAGGTCTACATCTTTATGATGACTACCTCTAATGTGTTAGCATAAATGAGGTTTACACTATTAGTGAGATAGATCTTGTCTTCTATTTATTTTGCATTAATTAATACAGCATCACCATAGCAATTTTAAATTTACCCTTAGCGTAAATTCAGAAAATCTATGGTTTAAACCTTGTTAGAATAATAGCCAGCAAAGAGTTCGATCTCTTGCTCTTAATGGTTACCATTATCTAACATGGTCAATGGACATAATGTTAAACTTGATGTTCTATGGATTCATGGCAATATTTGATGCTCCTCGTAAGAGAGCATCACCACTTATGATCAATTTAAATATGAAGTTTTATTTAAATAAAGCACCATATACATCCAGGTCACACGTATGTGTATCTCAATGGGTGCAAATCGAAGCACTATATGACTAGCTTTTAATGAGTGATACGAACAACACAAGACAGTCATTCTGTCCAATGCCAATTATGATTGGCCACAACTTTATCTCTAGGATCTTAAGTCCACTTGAGAATATAATTATGTTGTTCCAAAATATCCCCCAACATTGCGTTTTCGCGAAAGCACACAACTTACCAAATGTATTCTAGATTAATTCCTACATTACTTCAGGTCTAAGTGTATGATAAACTCTTATCGAGGAATCATCATTAGCATTATAGTGATGCTCTATCATCTAAAGTACATTGAATTTTCAGAATCATACAAGTTCGATGCCATGTAATAATGCCATCCAAAGAACTTTAATGCTAAGATTTAACGCAAAAAGAAGTAGCAGCCCTGTGCATTCCTTAGGGTCAAGGCATTTCCCAAATATGACAGAACCATATTTTGTCCTAATTGTGTATGTTATAGCCACACAACTTAGAAATGTCAAGGCTTGAAACATTTAATTGATCGGTATTACAAATCCATTGGACATAAATATCCGGCTCAACAATAAAGATATGAAGCACGCTTCTATCTTCAACCTGACATCACCAGGAAGGCCAGTTGTTCACAATAAGTTTCATGAAAAAAACCAAGTAGCAACCAAACACTTAATTAATAAGTGGGTCTTATGAGCATGGAGAGCACGATCATCGAATTTACTTCGCTTGATCCATTTTGGAGACCAAATCTGTCTTCCATTTACAAAGATACCTACTATCTTCGTCCTATTTTGGTGTTGTAATATAAAATGTCATCATCAATTTTAATTGAATATCACAATAATGTGCCATCACATTTGATATTCCATTAATTAACTTATATGTAATCTATATATCTGCAAAGAATGTCATTATATTCTTCATGCTATATATAGACCTATATGGGAGTTAATCCAAATACAAAGAGGAATTTTGCCTAGTGGATAGTTGCACCACAAACTCTATATATAGGGAAGCAAAATATTCCTAAACTTTTACATAGAGACAAGAAAATATTCTGTTTATCGTTTGACGCGATGTCATGATAGTGGGCTTTAGTCGTGCTACTATCATACTCCCTATTGGTACTCAAATAATAATCATGAATCCATTCTTGTATTCTGATTCCAAAATGTACCTAATTATAATTATAGAGATATCCGTCAATGTGGTTTTCATATGAAAACCCCAAGATAACAACTAAGAGGAGTATTTTTCTCTTAACAACGGATATGGCAATACTTAAACAAAATATCCTCAGTTCGATTTGACTACACATACATAACATGTATCCAATGTTGCGTACAAATAATTCTCTCTCTTGGTGTCAACAAGACTTGACACATTTGCCTTGGTTATTCAACTATAGAGATAACTTGAGAATTATTATCAATTCTATTGGTCATAGCATCAATATGAGCCACTACATTTCTTAAAGAAATTCAAGAACATACATGTGACTCCATTTACCATTTTATGTACCATAAAGATACTATGTAATGCACATTTATGCATCCATAATATAGTTTCAGGTGTGTCTCTTAGTCATGCGAACCCACTGTTCGCCTAAACGGTCATTTAGCTCTGTTTACACCTGTGTAAACAGTACACGGTGGTGCGCCATTTCCGTTTAATCACCCGTTTAATTGGTCGTTTAGCCCGTTTAATCGGACGTTTTGTCCGAATAATGGCTAAACGGTAGGTGACCGACTGTTTACCGTTTAGCGTTTAGGAAAACACTGTGAGAACCATCACTATACCAAACTCATTGCTCAAAATCTTCAATTTAGAGCAAATTATTCTGGACACGGGATCAAATCCATTTTATATGGAACTGTTTGGTTTTTGGGTACTATATATCAAGTACCTTATGTCCATACCAATAATGGTTTTATTGAGTCTCTTATTGAGAATCAAATTGCATGACACATTAAAATAGAATTGTAATTTACCAGAACTAAGTTGTTTTCATGCGGCCTTACACACCGCATCGTTAATTCAAATTCATCAAGCTGCACTTATACAACTCCCTCTGTTGCAGTATGTACGTGAAACTTTGGCCGCAGCCAAACATTTCCCATCTATGCATCGAGTATGTTTTCACATACCCATATCACCACCCCAACATACCAACGGATATTAGGATCCCAAGAGGTAACTCTGCAAGGGATTTATAAATTGTCCGTATGTTGATCACATTTGAGGATAATTCCAGGCATTAGGGGGAGATTTATACCACATTAAGAATGCTAGGAATCAAAAGAGCAATCCTCACATCCACGTACCAAAAATTCTAAACCTAATCGTTTAGAATGTCTTATATTTGCATCATATTGCAAAGAATCTGCCACAAACATTTACTGAGAATAAGGGTGTCATAAAATCCTCTTGTCATAATTATAATGCGCCCGAAAGAATGGAAGTACCAATTAAAACTATTCAACTCCCTCTTCCAAAGAAGAGGGAGAGAAGTACAGCTGCTCCTAAGGATAATGCTCTAAGTAAACGTCCGAGGATACCGAGGACAATATCCTCCATATCAGTAAATCCAAGCCAACCTCAAGTTGGTAGACACCCAAAATGGATCAGCATCCAAAACCCAGATCAAAATCCACCCGGATCAACGGTGCACCCAAATTCTGATCCTAGGACATTGGAACACCCTAACTCCATATGGGAAATGACTCGGAGTCCAAAAGGGTTAACATTTTCACATGCTATATTGATTTTAAGAACTGAATCAATCATTTAAAGGCTACAAATTGTCGTGGCATATACTCCTCAAAGATTGCTTTTTTTACCTTACTGGATCCAGACCAAAAGTCCTAGGCAGAGTGTCTTCACACTCAAATTTGGTCAAACTAAAATATGACAATTAAGGAGATTGCTCTTGTTCAATGATGAGAAGTATTACCACAGTAATATCTTCCCTCACAGAGTTTCTTTTCAGAAGCAAGGTGGTGAACAATGAGAGCTTGTAGCATATGGTTTCACACCGAGACCCAGCATAGCATACCCCATGGTATGTGTAAAAATGAAGTTTTCCAAATTCAATAATTGGCATATCAAATGAATTTGATAGATTCGAACGTATAAGTTTTAATGGACTTCACGTTCTGAATCCAAATACAAATCGCAACATACATTGTGTATAATTAAGCATGATTGCACTATTGGTTATTTTGATATCATCATGATACAGAAATAATTATGCAATCATTTGAGATACAATTTTCATCGTGTGGATTCGAGATGGAGGATTTGGGTAATACCAAATATTACCTAGGCTTACAACTTGAGCACCGTCCTTCAGGGATTTTAGTGCATCAATCAACCTATATCCAGAAAGTATTGGAGAAATTCAATATAGATAAATCATATCATAACAAAACCTCGATGGTTGTTCGTTCTTTAGAAATAGAGAAAGATCCATTTAGACCACGAGATTTTAGAGAAAAGATATTGGGACCGAGGTTCCATATCTTAGTGTCACTGGAGCACTTATATATCTTGTAAATTACACCAGGCCTGATATCGCATTTGCAGTGAACATACTAGTTAGACATAGTGCAAATCCAACTCACCGTCATTAAACGGGAGTGAAGCATATCCTCATATATCTTAGTGGCACAAAGGATCTTGGTTTATTCTTTAAGAGAAATCATGATCCTAATATGATTGGATACACGGATGTTGGTTACTTATCTGGTTCCCATCCCAAACTGGATTTGTATTCTTACATGGAGGTACAATTATTTCATGAAGTCTTTTAGACAGACTCTGACGACGACCTCTACTAATCATTCTGAAATTATTACTCTATACGAGGCATCACATGAATGTGTATGACTTCGCAGAATAATTAACCACATACAACAGGCATATGGTATTGGTTCGATTAAATCACCTACAATTATCTACGAAGATAATTTCGCTTATGTTACATAGATGCAAACAGGTTACATAAAGAGTAATGTCGCTAAGGACATTGCCTCTAAGCTGTTTATCCCCATAAGTTACAAGAAAGTGGGGAAATAAACATCTTGCAAATCAAATCATGTGATAATCTCGCTGACCTATTTACTAAGTCCTTACCAACTTCTATGTTTCAAAAAAAAATTGGTACATGGAATTGGTATGCGGCGACTTTGAGATTTGCCAGAATCAGGGGGAGACATCTCCTAAATGTTGACCTGTACCAGCATCGTATTATACTCTTCTTTCACAAGTTTTACTTACAAGGTTTCTTATTAAAGTTTTTAATGAGGTAATATTAACCTAAGCATGTGTCATATTTCCTATTTTCCCCACTGGGGTTTTTGTGGAAAATATCAAAGACACATATTGCCCTCATAACTCATCCATGGTTTTTCCCTGAAAAGGTTTTTCATGTGAGTTATCTAAGAGGCAATACCAATAATATGTCGTCATATTTTCTCCTAATTTTCCCACTGGGTTTTTACAGGAGTTTTAGCGACATATCACTTTATATTGCTCCTTATATTTTTCCTGAAAAGGTTTTTGGGAGAGTTATCGTTATATCGTATCTCCAATATTTTTCCCCATTGGAGTTTTTAATGAGATATCAAGGGCATAGTGGTTTATTTAAATCACAAATAAATATGTTTTTTTCTCCTTATTTTTCAATAAGGTTTAAAGGAGTTTTTATGGCATATCATATATTCCTCAGATTTTTTCCATAGGGTTTTTTGAGGAATTTCAGCTTACAGCTGCATTGATCTCAATAAAGATTCAATCAAGGGGGAGTGTTACGAAATGGTGTCTCTCAACAGACACCCCTTCGGTGATCTCATCAACAACGCCATGAACAGACACCTGATTCACGAAGTGATCTCATCCATCAATTACAAGATTAATGAATAAAATTAGACATTTAGTTTTACTTCAAAGGGCATGTTCTTTGAGAACAATCGTGTTCCTTCATGACATTCCTTCACTTGTATAAATATATTTCAGAGATCAATGAAAGAAATAGTTTTCCCAAATCTTGTTCATTTACATTCACGTCCTAACAGATTCATCACAGTTCACTCTTCAGATGACGAAGACGACGATAGGGGACGGCGGCAGACCTGGGAACATTCATGGAAACCATACTAGTCGAACATTCATGAACGGCTTCCAGTGGCGTTTATACGATTCAATTCGACAAATGAAGTGTGTGGTGCATCGGCAACATCGTGAAACAGATCAGCATGACAAATCTTATACTGCAGATTGTGCATCACCTGAGCTTTAACCAAGCTCAACCGTACCAAATTTTCTATTGTTCCTAAGTATATGAGATGCCAGGCTAATTCAAGCTAATTCCATTATTGCAAATGAAGTTTAGGTTACACAAAGCGTGCAGCATATAGTACAGAACTACAATTATCCCAATACATTATCCTGCCGACTGCCCCCAAGAATATCTTTTAATATGACATATTGTTTGTTTGCCAAAAGAGTAACATGGCATCTCGTTTGTGGATTCACCAGCCCTCCAGGTCTTCTCTGCCGTGAAGATGGGAAGAGTTGGAAACACAAGCAGCGCCATGTAATTAAGAGAGAGAAAGAAATGTCTTCCAAACAAAATTTAGCAGCTGAGTGTTTTCTGATATGCAACCTGCAGGCAGTCAAGGAGATTAGGAAACAGATTTTGAAGACAATTTCTAAGCAACAAACACTACAGGTAAACAATATTTTGTACAAACATACCGACGTGGAAGTCTTCAGAAGCTCCCGGATAGCCATTGTCGCATAACATGATGCTGGTAAAATAAATGCTAATTTTAAGGCCAATTTCTTTGATAGTGTATCTGGGCTGCCAATAAGCTTATTTTCTTGCGAGCTATTCTCATTAGTTGGTACAGAGGTATCAAGAGCCTTTTCCAACTTATCCTGCTGCTCCTGGTTAGAAATAAGCTCATTTGCTTCTTTAGGCTTGGTTCTGGACAGAACATCTAAATCAGTTTCTGCTAAAGATGAACTGTCATCCGTGTAAGTCATGAGTTCCCTGCAGTCATATTAGAGAAAAATATTTTAATGGAAGGACCAAAAGAAGTTCCATGTGCAAGAAACAACTTGAAACCAGGCAAACCCAACACACATTGCATTGCATGTTCTAAAGGAGACAAGAAATATTTAATCCTTGGGCACAGGGTACATACCACTTGAAACCAATAGGCCGCTGGAACACTCGACGGTAACCACCTTTCATGCTTGTAATTGAAAACTCTCTAACAAATGAAGGTTGCATTAAAGGCATTGCACTTAGGATATGAAGTCACAGATGAAAACAAGCACACCAGGCTAATAAAGACTCACTTGACACCATGAGCATTCTCCGTCAAGCTAATGCCATCCTGTGTCATGAAAGCAAAATTCAAATATTTCCATCTGTTTTGTCCAGAAAGCACTCAAAACATGTTGTATCAATCACAACATATTTCCTAAATATTCCTCTCAAGTAAAGAAATACTATGCAATCATGGAATACTGAAGAAACAGATTCCGATTGAGTTGACAAAAGCACCAACCTACTATCAATTCAAATCAACATCGCTATAAATAGCTAACGCAGTAAGTTCCAGTTCTGGAAACTCAAATTAATAAGGTTTCATGTGACAGCCACAAATCACCACATTAAAGTATACAGAAACAAAAGGGGAAACTCAAATGTTCATCCTAGACCCACAGCAAAACCTACTAGTCCAAATGCTAGTTACTTTGGAAATGTACTAGACCCACATCTTAGTATCTAACTTTGTGAAAAGTATGAAACACTCACACGAAAAATCCAACGCTGCAGTGCACAAACTTCTGCTAAACAAGAAAGAACATCTAATAAACTACAAAACACACACTATAGGATAGTGTTACCTTTCTAGCCATTTCATGGTAAATCTCAGCAACTTCATTCCCAGGAAACAATGCTTGTGAACTGCATGCCATACAAATAAGCATAAACAAAAAATGAAAGTACAAATACAAAGGAATTGGTATTACCCAGGCAAAGGTAGGACAACATCATCAAATGTGTATATCCCCTTCAATAAATCTCCAGAATCAACTATCTAGAGAAGAAATAAAAGGTGGATTATTAGGATCTCTATTAGAAAGGACATTTTTGTGTATCAGCATGTGTCACAACTGTACCAAACCTTCACAGACTGGATGCTTTCTTCTGGTTGTGCTTCAGAACATAGATCAATTTCAATTGAATTTGTATGGCCATCATCAGTTTCCAGAATGTTTACGGAAGTCGATTCTTCTGGAGGGCATTCTTTGTTATACACTAAGTCACCTTCTACAACCTGTGAAATGCCTGTCAAATTACTAGTCAGAAAATGAAAAACGACAAAAATTGTTTGCTAGACTAATACATCAGTTCAAAGATAACCACATCAAGCAATAATATACATCAATTCACAAACATCAAACCATATAATAATTTCATTAATTCTTTTAGTAGAAGGGAAGAAACTAACCATACTTTTCCACTCTCATACTGGCAGCATGATTCCACAGGTAACTTTGGTAACTATGTACGTACCTACATAGAACATTCAAATAAAAACTTTCAGAAAAAGTAGAAAGAAGACATGGCTATCATTCAAGAAAATTCAACTGACATGAGAGCATACAATACTATGAACTAATACAACTACAGAATTGGACACCATCACAAGAGATTATTTAGACAACAGAATATGACATGGCAACAAAGCATTACCTTAGCATATAACAAAGTAAGCACTGCTATATGATGTGAGACAAGCACACTAGTACATTTGTATGCCGTGACGGAATAACTTAACAGTTGACAAGTTTCGCTGAAATTTGGCTTATGCTGATGCTTATGCTGAAATTCTGTGAGAGAAAAACACTGTTCGTTCGCTGAAAAGTACTACTGAAGTAGTGCAGCAGAACAGGACCAACATTAACAAATAAATGCAGAATACGAAAACAGAGCTGGACATAGAGGTAAAGCTGTTATTAGAGACCGAGAAACAATTTTTAGCACAAGTCAAGAATAACTAGATATTCTTACTAGCGAAAAACATGACACGTCATCAACAACAAAAAAGCCTTTTTGCCCCAAGCAAAGATGGTCTAGGCAGCATATTCTTAACCATCTAAAATTATGTACCTTAATTTGCACTTAATGATGATAATACAAAGAAAAAATGGAGTATATTCAAATAAAAGGATGCAACATACATCATTCTAAGTGTTCTTGGTATACCCTTAAGTGCTTGCAGATGGTTACCAGGGCATTTCTTCAGACATTGAAGCTGGAAACATGCAAACAACGGAAGATAAGAAAAAAGAATCAGTTTAAATGCACAAAGCAATGTGCTTTACACAAAGTAGAAAGAATTAGAAGGCCACATTTTTTCAATTAATACCACAGTATATGTTGAAAAATGGTAACTATACTTACTATTGCCCTCTCAGCTACGAGGTGCCGAGGGAAGTTCCTCAGTGCCATATCAATGTCACCATGTTCCTTGTAATGTTTGCGCACCTCATTAATGTCATCACGCTGTACGGACTTAGTTATGTTTAAACAAAAGCTGGCAGAACTGAATACAAACTCCTAATTGGACACATAAAATATTTGTAGGATATCTCCTTCCCTTGGATCAAGAATCAAGTTTACAGCAGCCTTCCACTCTCCTCTAAGCAAAGCAGCCCCAACAAGGTGTGTTGGTACTGAACCACTTCCAAAACGCTAAGCAGATGAAATAGATAAACTCAATGAGCTTCAGAAATAATAGGGTAATAGGTTTTAAACTTGAGGATATAATACCTGCAAACCATAGTAGTTGATAAATCCATTCTTTCCTAAGCCATCTACGGCATTTTTTATCATGTCTTCAGATTCTGCAGTAACACCCCTAAATAAATATAGGGAAACATAAGATCTCCATATGCTCTGTTTTCCTAAAAGAGAATGTACAAGGTATGCTGCATGTGGAGTTGTGGACTGAAGTATCATAGCAAACAATACAGACAAATGCGCACGTCATAGCAAACAATAGAATGTTAAAAACATGATCCCAAGTTCTTGTGTTGAACATACAGTCTTAGTCTAAGAAGTTACTATGGCTCGAGTCAAGTGATGAGCATTTTAGTACCAGAAAAAAACTATAGTCAGGAATGCTAAAATATTAAATTGTAAGCAAAGACAGTACCTCAGAGTAATTGTAAATCGATTTCCTGTGAGCTGACCAAGAACAAGTCCCTCCTTCACATAACTAAAAAGCATTAGTTAGTTGCCAAAATTATCAACATTTTAAGACTGCTATATATCATGGTTATATGTACAACATGATAATACTAATCACATACCAGAAGTTTCCAACTTTAATCCCAAACAGCCGATTATTAAGAGCAGCCAATCTACTGGCTTGCACCTTGAAAACAGTTACCTGATAAAAATTAGAAAAGTATCAATATCACTGTATGCACAATTATAGACAGAAATGAGAAACTATTCACATAGGTAAGCTATCAATAGTGAAAAGAATGGAATGTATGAAAATACATAACAAATATCAACAAATATCTTTGAAAACTAATTATGTCATTCAGAAGACATTTAAGTTAGTAATCTAACATGCAGTCTCTTGTACAACTAAAATCACGAAGTGTTCCATTTCCATACTTCAATGTTATATGTTAGCCAACATTATTCAAGGAAGCTCCAGGACTAACTAAATAAATTTACTCTGCTGTTATAAACTTGAGGAATACGTGCCTGCTGTGTAGTAACAGCACGCTTATCCTTTGTCCCTGCAAACCCAAATGAGCGTGGCTGCAAAAGGTACAGTTAACTTAGCAGCAGCAAGAGCAGGTAAATGAACCCAGTTATCTAAGGCAGATAAATGAATTCTAGGATTTAGCAACTATGAAATACCTGAAGTCCTAGCATTTTTCCTATTACTCCTAATGCTTCTTGGGTGTCCTTGTTCTCTTTGTACAGGTGAAACCTGATCAATGAACCAAAATGGTAAGTTCAATTAAAACACTAGTCGGCAGCAAAACTAGATAAACTGCACAATCATATAAGGCTGTTGTGCAGCTACATTAGGTGCATTGCTATTACTAAGTTCAGGTATGTCATACATGTGAAATGACCTCATCCCAATACAAGTGAAAATAACACACAACAAAGTTAACAAACAAAACAGGATATCATCACCTCAGGAACTTCCCAACATTATCTGACCAATTACTCGACCCTCTACTATCAAATGGCCTGTCATCTCTCCAATCAGAACTACCCATGTTCTTCCGTTTCCTTCCTCTCCCGCGGCCGCCGCCACCCCTTCCACCACCTGCTCCTGACCCCAACCGCACCCTGATGCACCTCTGGACCCCATCACTGTGTTCCACCGTGTCCGTGACCAGGAACTTGAAGGTCTTCTTAAAGAAGTTATGCACGTCCTACAACCAAGTAACACAAATGTCATACCAAACTCGACCATCGCAGTCGCAAAAAACATCAGTAACCGCTAAGTGAACTGACCGATCGGTGAGCCTTGTCAGCATCAGGCGAGAGAATGACAGGCGAGACATCACTGTCACCACCAGCCGACACCCTCTCCAGGAGACTCTTCAATGCGTTGCAGTCGGCATCGCCGCAAAGCGAACGGAACGACTCAAGGGCCGGAGAGTGGTCCGCTTCAGCCGACGGCGCCGCCTTATCCTCCTCATTCACGTCAACGCACTGCAATTCCGCGTTTGGCAGGGAGATTGGAATCGGAGAAGCGCAATTATGAGCAAAAACTTTCACAGAGGGCCTGATACCTCGGTGGGGAGATCGAACGAGGTGAGCTGGACGAGAGCGCCATCGCGGGCAACCTCGTGGACGATGAAATCGGCATAGCGGTGCTTGAGGACGCCGCGGAATCCGGGAAGGGAGGAGGTGAAGCAGGAGATGCCCGCCTCCGCCTCGGAGAGTGAGGTCGAGCGCGCCATGGGAGCTGGGGGCTGGTGGAAGGAGCGCTAGGGTTTTGGGAGGGAAAGCGAGGAAGAGGAAGACGGCTGGAGAGGGTTTAGGCAAGTGAAAGGGGAAAAGTAGAAAACGGTGATGAGAAATTTGTACTTAGGTCCCTCAGGTCTCTGATATTTCCGTTAAGTATAGTCTATGCAAAGTGAGCAAGCCACTTTGAATTGGGCCTTTTCAAAATAAAAAATAAAAATTTATAATAATGTCAAACGATTACAAAAAAATGTGACGGAATTGCAAAATAAAATTCAGCCTGTTTGGTTGGCTGGTTCGTTTCGTTGCTGGTTCGTGAAGAAATACTGCTGGTTGGTTTGTATGAGAGAAAAGTACTGGCTGAAAATTTACGATCGTTTACGACAAGCCACAGCCAAACGAACAGGCTGAATATGGGCCGCTGGGAGAACGAAATTTAATGGCCCTGTTCCGCTGAAATTTGGTTTATGCTGATGTTTATGCTAATATTTGTACTGATTTGTTATGAGAGAAAAATATTGCTTGTTCGTTGAAAAATATTGCTGAAGTAGTGCTGTAGAATAGGAATGTGTTTTGAAAAATTGTTCACATGCTAGAACAGAATTAATTTCGTCCAAGAGAACGTCTACTCATAGAACGATTTTACAAAATCATTTACCCACACAATGATTAGGTGAAATCATGTACCTACAAAACAAATTCTCTTGAGTCCTTTTATCGGGAGTCAACATTAAAAAGGATAAAATCTCGTTTAAAAGGTCTCTTAGCGCCTCGAACTCTTCTAGCTCCTGCACTATTCACGTTACATCATCAAAGCACTTTCTTTCTCTTGTCTAAATAAATGAAATAAATGAATTGGGAGTTAAAAGAAACTGTATATGAGAGGCCGTTTGGCAAGACTTTTTTGAAGTAGATTCTTCGCAAAAATTGCGCCTCGTCAACCAAAATGAATATAGAGGGCCTGTTCGCTTGTCTGAATTCTGGAGGAATCTGGATGGTTTGGAGGAATGCTGGAAGAATTTGTGATAGAAAAACACTCTTCCGGTAAAAAAAATAAGCGGATCAAGCCGGGTTTAAGGGCACACGAACGGGGCCAGATTTTGATGAAAAGCAAACAAAAATCACTCAGTCTGTTTACTTATTGGTTTCAGCCAGGGCTTATCAACGAGCCAACAGTGTTTTCCTCTCACAATAAACCAGCACCAGCCGAGCTTATCAGCCCAAAAACCAACCAGTGAACAGGCTCACTGTCATTTATACTTGGAAACTTAAAAACCCAATCCTCAATTCCCCTTTTCAATCTCCACCAAATCACTGTAGAAATAATTACCATTGCTCTCCCACCTTGTTCTCACCAAAATCAAGTACAATCACTCCACCTAAGAATTAAAGAGTAGAACTCTGCCAAACGGACTAAGCTATTTTGGCTCCGGCTTTGGCTCCTCAGCTACCATGGCACAGAGCGATAGCTAAAAAAAATCTAGCCAAGCATGCCCTAAGAGTCCGCCGCCTAGACTCAAGATTATTGTTGTAGTATGATTTTCCTTAAACTCTGATTTTCCTTAAACTCCAAGGTCAAATACTTTCTAAACCATTCGTATTACCTCCCTGCATTGGATTGGACTTTGAAGTGGTTTTAAAGGTGCTATTTATCTTTTTATTAAAAAATTCTATAGTTACTTTATAAGATTTTTAAGCCATAAAAGATATCTCGAAGCTTTTAAAAATCCCAAAAAAAATTGAAGATGGTTTGAAATCTGCCAAATATAAATAAAATATTTAGAGCTCATGAAAATATCTCTAAATCCTTTAAAAATAGATTTAGCTCTAGAAAAATAAAAAATATCCAAAAAATATTTAGAAAATTCCTAAAACACTTATCCATGTACTCTCTCTGTCCAAGAAAGAATACAATTCTAGTCATATTTTAGTATCTTAAGTTTGACCAATTATAGATAAAAAAAAGATATTAATATTTATCATATCAATTAAATACCATTGTATTAAATAATTACAAAATGCATTTTCATTGTAAATTGATTTGGAGGCATAAGTTCAAATACTATTCGCTAGAAATTTAATCAAACGTGAACCACTTTAACTGACGCACAGCTCATAGTTACATTCTTTTTGAAACAGAGTATAAACGAGTTCTTGACATATCCATGTGCCCCGGTTCGTGAGATTTGCCAGCTGTTCCATCAACCGAGACCCATGATAGATACAACTACTATCAGTCATTGCAGATAATCTAATATTGATTTGTAAAATTCGAGATATATCAAGTATATGATCTCATCATTAAATGGGTTAACAAGAAGACTTGATAGAACAAAATGAATAGCATAGCATGGTGGTCGATTCTTCAATTGTCACAGGTTCAGCTCCTTCACAGGTTGCCAAGATACAAAGCGTTTGCCACTGAATAACAGCTCAAAAAACATCTTATTGTCTATCAATTTACCGTTTCTCTGATGGTGCAGGATAAAAGTTAGAGAAGCTTTCACTGATGAAACACATGAAAGCTTCAGAATACAAACAACACATCCCTTACAGTGAGAGCCAACTTATTTGTGTGCTCGTAGTGCTCCGAAGCAAACCTAGCAGGCATCGAGATCCCTGCATGGAGGAGGTTTCGGCTCTCCGTGCAAGGTGGTGTTCCCCCCCGCAGGGCCAGAGTTTTTTCGCTCCGGGTGCTGTGTGCCTCGCTGCAAAATTAATTTGATAACCAAAACAGTACATTGACCAGTGAGCAAAAGAATTGTGGCTTAACATAAAAGAATCAAACCAACTAAAAGCACAGTAGAAATATCCAGTTAAGTTAGCTGGTACTTACAGGAGGTGTTTCGCCTCTTCTCAGCATCTCAACAATCTCAACAACTCGTTTCGGAGTGAGGTCCTCCTGCAAAAGAAGGGAGGCACAGAAAAAGAAGCTCAGAGTTATGGCACCAGTTTTTTTTTTTTTTTTTTTTTGTCAAGTCATCTTTACTTCTCTACTATGAAGGGCACGCCTGGTGCAAGCGGTAGAGCCTTACCGCCTGTGACCGGAAGGTCCTGGGTTCGAGTCGCGGTCTCCTCGCATTGCACAAGCGAGGGTAAGGCTTGCCACTGACACCCTTCCCAGACCCCGCACAGAGTGGGAGCTCTCTGCACTGGGTACGCCCCTTTATCTTTACTTCTCTACTATATGAAGAAGGAAGTGTTTGTCCCGTCTGCCAAACGATTTTCGTACGACTCCTCGATTCGTTGTTCTCCTCCAACCTCCGCGATCTTTTTTTTCCCGCACATGCCGCAGCCCACGATCTGCCCCCAACACCCACGCTCCTATTTCGCTCAGAAAAGAAAAGAATCGCTTAGAGAAGAAAAGAAATGAAAACTGACACAGTTCTCCATCGCCGATCCTCTTGATTTCTCCATTGTCCTCGGTGAGGAACTGCATCACCGTTCCCAATCACCAGTGCCATGCACCACGCCCTCCCAAATCCTTCCTCAACGCGGCCACAAGGCCCGCCCTCCTCGCACCCAATCCTACGGCGAGGTCTCGCGAACCTGCCGCCCTCGCAGCCTAGCAGCCAGCAGGAGAAGGCGCACCTTCGGTGTGCACAGTTTGCTGCTCGAGCGGCAGCGTGAGTTGCCGGGTCCCTACATGCTGCCGCCCACGTTGTTCCTCACTGTCACTTGAAAGGGTGACCGGGACACGACGCTCTCCGTCCTCCTCCATGGACTGCAGGTGAACGTGGGTGGCTATGAAGATGCAACGCAAATGGGTTGCGGTCTGCAGACGCGCGGCGGACGGTTTGTGGACATGCAGCGGACCAGTTGCAAACAACAAGAGATGATACCGTCCTTGCTCGATGGCCCGAGGATCAGCGACGGAGAAGCTACACAAGAGGGGCACGACCGCCGTGCTGCCGGTGATGTTCCGTGACTCCATTCTCCAGGCAGGTGGTGGCACTCGGCTATTGGGCCTTGGCCTCGCCTATTTCTCTTAGAAAAGTTACACATGATGACCAGGCGTCCAAGGGCAAGATACAGACTCGATTTCAGCGGGACCAGCACCATCGAAGCCAACTCATGTAAGCATTGATATTGGTTGTATTTCAGATCGTTGCCACCACTTTATTATGCATGGTAAATTATTGAAACAAACAGGAATCTTCTTCACTAAAAGTACAAATGATTCCATCTGCTCATAATATTGATAGGGTATAATGATTAACAGAGTTCTCAAAAAGGTAATCTCGCAGTACAAATAGTTAGATGTACTAAGCAGGTGCAAATAAAAGCAGTTCATATTATGGTGATATCTAAAGTCTAATCGCAGAGGCATGTTAATTCTTGGAACTCTGGTAGAATGAGTACAAAGCTTCATTTGAAAAACTGAAGTATTATTTTTCAGTTCATTGATGCCCATCCAGTTGAAAAACTGAGGTATCATCTTCAGGCGCCCGTAGTATAGGGGAATAGGGGAGGTGTAAAGGAAAACCAAAACTTAATCTTCCTTGGTTCTGTTTTGCAACTGGATGGACATCAATGAACTGAAAAATAACGCTATCAAAGCATTCGGGGTCGGGCTGGTTGTGCTATGTGGGTATAGAAAGAGGCTTAGGGGAGGCAGGCTGTTCAGGCATAGGAGATGGGCGTGGGGGAGGAGTGGCATGGCCACTGCCAGCCAGGGCAAAACTAGGTTAGCGTGGCAGGGGGAGTGGGCCAAACACAGCGACCGAAAGGCCACCGAGGACGGAGGTCGACCACAATCGGCGGAGACAAATGAACTGTTTGAGACTGGTGTTGAAGAACAACTTAAGGTAGAAGATCAACAGGAACCATCTGATCTAAATCTAACGGGTCTAATGCGTCGCTTGAAAAAATGAAAAATTAGGACTACACTATAGCAATTCCCTTGCTAAGATCGAACTCAAAACATCATATTTATGTTATTGTCACAAGACAATGCACTATGGTCTTTGTAGGATGGCTACCAAATGTCTCATAAAATTTTTAGTTGCCCCATTGCAACGCACGGGCAATCACCTAGTAGCAATAAACATTATTTGTCATGTCATGTATGTTTTTATGCCTTAAGTACTTCTGTTGCATGGAATAGGGTTTAAGAGCATATAACAGACTAATAGGGAAACAAATAATGACAGCAGGAAAGTGCCAATTCATGCAAGTAAACTTACATAGTAGTTGTATGTGTAACCCTCTGAGCCTTTCGAGTAGTCAGCCACAGCAATCATAGGAGCATTCACACAGCAACCCTGCAAATGCAGGAGACATGTGAATAGAAAAGGTGCATTCTAGCTCCCCGAAATAAAACAAATAAAATAAAAGTGATTTCTACATAAGAACTAATAGAAATAGCTGATGTGTTAAAAACCATTAATTGATGACACATTATAGACTACTGCTGCTAAACATTTAAAACACAACTAAAAAGAGCAATTTGAACTCTGAAGGCATCTGCAGTAGCATCTCATAAATATGTAGATCAAATTACCATGCACTCCATTTCTCCAACAGAAAATAAGCCATCACTGGTCACCTCTGCAAGGCAACAAAAATGTCAACGATATTGCAGAGAAAGCACGAGAAGCTCAGGCTCAGAAGACAATGTTGGTGGTAACTAACCAGAAAATAGCACCCTTAACAGGATAAAGTATCATGAATAGTAATACAAACCATTTCGTTTAACTCCAAGGTGCTCCAACAATGTATCTTCAATTTCACGTGAACCACGAATCATACAAGGTGTAGTTCCACACACCAGAAGATGGTATTTACCAACCTAATAAATGATATTAAAATGAAAAGGTCAAAAGCATAACAGAGATGCTAGTGGGGGAAACGATGACAACGAAATAGGCAGTAATGCATCAAGATACCTTAGTCCGGTTAAACATTGTGTAAAAGGTAGCAACTTCATATACCCTGATTGGTGCAACTTCGACGATTTTAGCAATCTGAAATAACAGAGACAGCATTGTCAGAAGTACAGAAAAACATAGCAAATCAAGTTTTCCAAACATGATGACAACAGTTCGTAAACAGATAATAACACAATCTATCATAACATACATCTGATAAGTGTATAACATAACCACTTTTAATACTTCAACTATTCATATGCTATGAACAGAATTATATATGAATATTTCTGAATTGCTGTAGCTTCAGCTGCACAAAAGATATATTTATACAGGAGATGTCAACTTCCATTGAGGCAAATATGCTTGTTTTTATTGGTCATTAACCTCCACTTTCCAACACTGCACTCAAAACTAAGGCATCTACCAGCACTTGCAAATTCAGCCACAACACAATCTATTTCAGGTCCTGGAAGGTTTCAACAGCTGGCTCATGGAAATCATGTTTTTTATGTGCTGGAGTATTTGGCCATTGAGACAATTACATCTTCAGAGGAATACAACCAAATATTATTCAATGCAAAGCAGAACTACTTCGCACACAGAAGAATAGCTACAGAGCTTTCAGTAAAGGGAAACCCCTCCTGTTGCCTCAAAAAAATAGGCATATTGTTTCCTGGTAGCATTTTTTTTCTGCACAAGCAAGGCCAGGATAATATCGTATTTATCAAATGGTGTTACATACAAATGTTGTGTACACTACTACTCTACAAGATGTGACTTGGTTCTCCCCTGTCTTCAGTAGACATTAGATTTGAACACTAATGAAACTCAGCTAACATTACTCATAGAAGAAAGCAAATACACATTGTAAGTGTTGAACCATCAATAACAGGCTAACAGCACATAGACTAAGTTTGCAGTAGTTGGTTTTATTTTTGTACAAGACCTAAGGTAACTCTTGGTAAGAGATTTGTCAGAGATAAAGATAATTGACACAGCACAAGTCATAGAATCAAAGCAGGGTGGATCAAGTGGCGACAAGCTCCTGGCATTCTCTGTGACAAGAGGGTACCACAAAAGCTAAAAGGCAAGTTCTATAGAACGGCGATTAGACCGGCTATGTTGTATGGAGCAGAATGTTGGCCTACAAAGATTCGACATGTTCAACAACTGAGTGTTGTAGAAATGCGTATGTTGCGATGGATTTGCGGTCACACAAGAATAGACCGAGTTTGGAACGATGATATACGTGATCGCCTAGAGGTAGCATCAATTGAAGAAAAGCTTGTCCAACATCGGTTGGGGTGGTTTGGCCATGTCCAAAGGAGACCTCCAGAGGCACCAGTGCATTGTGGAGTCCTAAGTCAAGCTAATAATATGAGGAGAGGTAGACGAAGACCGAAAATGACATGGGGGGAGGCAATAAAAAGAGATTTGAAAGCTTGCGATATACCTAGAGATCTATGTTTGAATAGGAGTACTTGGAAAGCAGCTATTGAAGTGCCGGAACCGTGACTTGGGGCTCTTGGTGGGTTTCAACTCTAGCCTACCCCAACTTGCTTGGGACTAAAAGGCTATGTTGTTGTTGTTAAATTGGATAGGGTGAAGATTATCCTGGGAAGGATAAATGACAGCAGCTGTAACATGAAGCAAGGGTCAATCAAGGAGTTTCTGCTACATATTACAACTGAAATATAACTCTGTAAGCACTGCGGTGAATGAATGCATAACTACAGGTCCGTAAACAAGTTCGTCATGTTTTTTTTTTCAAATGGGTCATAACAAAACATATTGAAATGTAGAAAACAGATAGTTGCCTAGTTTTTACATAGTAGAACTTACAGCATCCATGGCTGCAACTGGCACCCATCCACCATGCTGCTGCTGTGCAAGATCAAGCAGCGGAATAATACCAGATTGCTTGTAGTTGCTTGGATAGTGAGGGAGTATCTCATTGACCTGAACACACATTGAAACATATATATTAAAGTGCACTGCTAACAAGATCCATACTATAGATATTAGCTGCATTCACCAAGCATGTTATTAAGTCAACAAGGTCCAGCATTAAGCCCATCACCATATTACATAAGCTCATTGGTGAAGTGTCACATTACAAGGATATCTCCCTCTCATAAACAAACAATCAGCTCAAACTGAAAACTGAAAACTTCAACATCCAAGTGAGCCGGCCAATCCACTAACATCACCATCCCACTGGAAACACTAATACACTATCCTCACTACCATATCAGAGACACTGAGGATCCAAGCACAGGTATGAACAACATCTGACATGATCAATCCAAACCTAGCCAATTTACCCTATTGAGCAGAGGTGTAGGCGAATCACAAACAAAGGCAAGGGCAGTCAGTAACTCGGTACCTTCTTCATATTCGCCTCCGAGAACTCCCATTTCATGTCCGGCTTGTTCTCCGGCGAATCAAGGTGCTGCAACAACAATAGAAAACGTCAACTCAGCTGAGCTATCAACCACCAACCAGATCAGGCAAACGCGGGGGGAACGGATCCGAGGAGTGCTCACGTAGTTAAGAGCCGTGGAGAAGGGCCTGGTGCTGGAGACGGAGCTCCTAGAGGCGGCGGCGGAGTAGCCTGCGGCAGCGATCTGGAAGGAAAATTTTCCGCGGAGGAGATCAGACGATTAGTTTGGGGAAATGGTGGGGGTAGGGGTTGGGCAGAGAAGAGGACTAACCGGAGACGAAGCTAGCCGGCGGCCGGCTGCTTCCGACGCAGATGCGGAGGCGAGGCCGAGGAGGCGACGGGCCGCGAGGCGCGCGGCCGGTGGCAGCATGGTGGCGTGGCCGGCGGGGGAGGTGACGGAGCCGGTGGTGGTGGAGGTATCGGCGTGTGGCCGTCTTCCACTCTCGTTGCATCGCTAAGACACGAGCTCTACAGGCCCAATGGGCTAGATCTAGTTGTCTGGCCCTATTTTGAAATTGGGCTTAAAGTCTATGGGCCGTGGCAGACTGGTAATGTAACCAAGAGCCAGCCCTCTGGGCTGTACGAGTATTGGGGGGTTTACGCAGTCTCTTTTTGATTTTTAGTGGTGAAATCATCTGCCCTTTTCCCTAACAATATCTTATGAGATTAGCTATAATGCATGTTATATTTCATTATCGTCACTCTGTTGATCCTTTTTTATTAGTGATGGTAGGATTGGATCGGCTTCGAATCAGAATGAAGAATTATCCACACCCATGTCACCCTCAAATTCTACGGAGTAATATTCTCAACCTTGCCCCTTTGGCCTCGATTCTCGTAAATCCAGTTCAGACGATGAATAGCGACCATTGGATCTTCATTAAACCATTTTCAACTCGAGTATTGTTCACACATGGATTTTAGACGTGGATACATGGACATCAAAACAAACTCTTAGTGTTTCTTCTTCAACACCCACAAACTCCCGATGCCCATCTTCCCCGCCTACCACCGGCAACCTTCCATCCTCGGTGGCATCCCCATCACCGAGCCTACTTCCGCTGTCCCCCGCAGCGCTAACTTGGTGTTGTCGGGTCAATTCCAGGCTCCCCCTTTCCTCCTTGGCCCAGGAGTTGTCCTCCAGCACCCATGGTTGTGTGCGTCCTCGCCGCTTCGTCCCCACGCCTGCCTCCTCTGGCCTGCCTACCTTCCTAGAGCCCAGGCCCTTTTATATTCTAAGGCCGCCAACGCTACAAAAAAAATACTCTTATACATGACGGTTTACTTTGGTCACAGACAAGCGAAAATACGTCATAGTTAACTCACCATGACGATCGAAAAAACGTCATTAATCCCACGCCATATATTTTTAGCCCAAATTGAGCCGTCACATATTTGAATTTGTGTTCATATCTAAGCTCGGATCCAAACCATAATGACGAAAAAGAACATCACAAACTAGTGCCAAATCATCATTGCATTGACATACATCACAACCCATAAGATACACCAATCATATAAACAAACATTGATCATTCATGTATTAGCAAGCCCACTGTTGTCACATATTATCAAACTACAAATTGGTCTGGCTCATGGCCATATAGTTTGAACAACTAAGTTTGAACTTAAAGATTCAATCTCTAGGGAGTCTAAAATAACTAAACATTAGTATCCACGAGCACTTGAATTGGCTTGTTACCCATAAGATGTGCTACCTGAAAATCAAAATGAATATAAGATAAGTCAGTTTTCAGCTATGATTCTAGAAAGAAATGCATCTATTTATTGGGAAGCTTTCAACTAGTTAACTAGTTCAATGCATATATTTTTGAGAGCCCAACTAGTAGAGCATGAGAATCTAAATATCAATTCACAACAAGAGTAGATTAGATGGTATTAGGAATCATTAATTCAGTTTCATACCTACTCTAAAATTCTCATTAAACTTCACATAGTGAAGCACAAGCAGTAATAATTCAGCAAAGCTCACATGACATACTTGCTTAAGGGCAGCTGCAGTAGTTGCACTACTTGTAGCAAAGGGACGCCACATGTTATCTGCAAAAATGCATAGTCATGTCCAAGTTCAGCAGCCACTCACAGAGAAAAGAAAATTCCTCGTTGCTCCTCAGAAAAGCTAAACTTATTAACCATAGATGTAGGAATTACTAAAGGACATAAATGAAATGTAAAAATCTGCATCACAAAGGCTGACTGATTAAACAGAAGATTTGTTATGACTTACATCTTTGAGGATAGAGTTGTCATGCAGGTCTGAACCAGGGGCTCAATGTTGTCTGCACTCTGCACTGAACTCAAACTTTTGGGATATACTTTCAGTAAGCAAAGTAACTGAGGAGCTGTTTGTCAGTGAGATAGCTCATTTACATTACTGCGAAAGTGAACTTGTAAAGCATAGAACTAGATCTTAAAATCAAAGCACCCTATCAAAATTAACCGACTGAATGAAAGCAGGGAACATTGAGATAGCTTATATATATATCTATAAATGTGAACCACTAGACAGCGAGAAGGCACTTTGAACAAGCAAAAGTAGATCACAAAACAACACCTCCTGTCCAAATTGATTTACTGTATGGATCTTACACTGTGGGTCTGTGTCACTTGTGCATAATAGAAGCTATGGGGGAGGCGCAAAAAAGCTTGTAATCTATGCTAAACAAGTAAAACTAGATTTCCAAATTCACACCCTCTGTCCAAATTGATTTATTGCGTGGATCCTAAATTATAGGGGAGCCTCACTTGAGCACTGCAGCAACTAAATTGTTGGGGGGTTGCACTACTTGTAGCAAAGGGACACCACATGTTATCTACAAAAATGCATAGTCATGTCCAAGTTCAGCAGCCACTCATCAAGCAAAGTCACGTGCAACTCAATTACAGGAAACTAGCTGACGTTGTTCTTTCAGAAACTAGCTGCCTTGTAAAGATAACAATTTATACCAGTAAAACACAAAGTTTCAGGTTAACAAATGATACTAAAACAATGATGCTAACACAATTCTTGACCTAATGGTACCGGTAGCTAGTAGCAAAGTCACCTTTCGCAGTTTGCCGCCCTGGACCGCGCATCGCAGAAGATGTCACCTGCCGCTGCAAGCACCTCCGGGCGCGTGCTCGTTCTCGGCCGCCACCAGTTGCGGGCTCGTTCTCGGCCGCCACCACGCCCCAATCGCCTCTGGTTGCGTGCTTGTTCTCGGTCGCCACCGCAACCCTATAACCTCCAGGCAGATCTGGATCTGGGCGACGACCAGTGGGAAGGGCGCCGGCGGCGGCCGGAGGCGGAGGCGACGTCGTGTGGGGGAGGAGCAGGGAGGGGCGGCAGCCGGAGGTAGAGGCGTCGGCCGGAGGTGGAGGCGTCGGCCGGAGGTGGAGGCGTCGGCGTGTGGGGGAGGAGCAAGGAGCGGCGACACTGTGAGGGAGACCGAGGAGAGAGGGAGTCAGGCATGGGGGAGAGCTCGTGGGCTTTGGTGGGGATGGGGAATTTAGGTGTCGACATGGGCAGCCTGTTCGTTTGATACTAAATTTTCAGCTAGAAATAGTCTTTTTCTCTCATACCAAATTAACTAAATAATCATGATACGATACGGTCTTCAAAGCAGGCTGATGTATGATGTATCCTCCTCTCTCTTTCTGTTTTTTATTTCTTATTTCTTTTCTTTTTCTCTTTTTTTTAATTGCTCTTTTTTTATCTTATAGATATTATATAAGTCATCGAGAGGAGATGTGCATGCAAACGGGTGTGTTCTTTTCTTCTTTTTTTAATTTTTATTTCTCTTTCTTTGCAATTATATTTCTTGCTTTCATTTATGAAATTGCTTTAATTCCTTGGTTTTTCCGAGTCTCACCTAAAATCTTTCAATATTTCTTATTAATTGCGTTGATGCATCAATGATTAGTGTTAATGACTGCCTAACACCTAGGGTGTTATAATTAATTTGATTTTAAACATTAGTTTACGATTAAGATTTTATCACAGATGTGCCAAAATGATCTGTGACGTCCAACCATGACGACAACTTAATCAGTCGTCATAGATGTGTGTCACTTCAGAAATGAACCGTCACAGATGAAAGAATTCTATGATGATTTTTTAAAAGGTCACATGTGAACCATCATGTATAAGGGTATTTCTTGTAGTGGCATAAGTAGCCCGAAGCCAAATTCGGCGAGTAGAACAGCACCTGAAATTGTTAGTACAGGAGATGTGGGAAAGGAAAGCTTCCATCCAATTAATTTGTGTCCATGTCCAACTAGTGCCTGCCGCATTATTTCTCGAAAAAAATTTGCTGACAGTAGGTCTATGTTCAAAGGCCCAGTTATCCTATGATCATCCTCATGTGTTTCAGCCTTTGAGGTGCTCAGTTATCTAGGTGTGTTCCATAGCCTCAAATGAAGCTAGGCGCCGGATTAAACTCTGTTTCAAGTAAGAATATTGGAAAGATGTGTTTGGATCCGGAGACTAAAGTTTAAAGTCATCGGGTATTTGGATACTAATTAGAAAGACTAAGCATGAGCCTAATTAGACTTAATAGATCCGTATTGTAAATTAGTTTCAATCTATATAATTAATTTTATAATTAGTCTACATTTAATACTTTAAATTAATATCTAAGTATCTGATACGATAGAGGGACCAAACAACCCCACGTCTCGTGGTCAGATACTATAGTACGAAGCATGTGTGACAAGGATATACTAGTACGAAGCAGTATGATTCCAGAATATCCTTGTCCTTTACATTCCCATACTCGGTAACGCATTGTCCAAATCAGATATATGAAGGCCACGCATGATAGTATGATACTGCCATGTACACTGCTATCAATAAACTCCATACAGTACTACATGTGTACAGCTTCATCGTGTCTTTCATTCATGCATGATACTCTATCTGTTCTAAATTATAAACCGTCCTGAGTATAGAGATTTTGTTACGTATCTAGACATATATATATATAGATACATAGCTAAATTGATAAAAAAAAGTCAAAACGAGTTTAATTTGGAACAGAGAGAGTAATCGATAAACCAACTACTACTAAGTACTCGAGTCATTACCATATTTCAGATGCAACAACAGATTACGGTCGCATACAACCATGGCTTCATCGTCTGCACCCACGCATGCACAGATCGAACTCACACGGACTACACGGGGGTCAGGCTGAACAAAAATACAGTAGCTAGGAATCGACGAATCAGATGAGGGAGTGTCCGTTTTTCAGAGCGAGAGGCCGGAGTCCTCGTCCTCGTCGAGCGTGGAGGTGTAGACGGTGTAGAGGGACCAGATGAGGCCGAAGACGCCCAGCAGGATCCACCCTAGCAGGTTGTTGCTGAGCCCCAGGCTGAGCCCGGTGCCCTCCGTCGACATCCGCTCGTCCACCAGCGCCAGCGCGGGCGACGACGTCGTCATCGCGCTGGCCACGGCCAGAAGGGACGATGCGCAGCCGGCCGGAGACGCTGGCGCCTTGCAGTTAACGCTGTTGCCGTCCCGCTGACTCGGCCGCCTCGAGTTGGCGGCGCCGCACCGCACCTTCTCGGCTCTCACCCTCAGCTGCGGTAGCCCTGCAGTGGCACACACAGCAATCTCCTCAGTCCTCATGCCAAAGAGATACTTCGTCTGTAGTGCTTACACGCCGCCGCATGTAGATGACTGACGGCGCCGCTAGCTCTTGCACCAGATCCCCCCCAGACGACGACGACTTTACGTACCTTGAGCCTGAGACGACGGCCTGGCGACGGCGGCCGCGCCGACGAGGGTGGCGGCGCTGATGGTTGCCATTGCTCAATCTCGCTGGGCTAACTAACGGTCTCGTGCCTGCCTGCTGTGTCTAGATTCTAGAACTACTCTAGATGCAATACAAGTGGTGTTATTCTCCAGTAGGCGTTCAGCCAAATTGCTGCCACTCATGCAAGTGTGGCTGCCTGCCTGCCAACGGCCTGGTTATCCATGTGTACATGTCATATCGTTCTGGAGCCAATGAGTGGTCGCCACGTAGATCTACCGATTCCCACAGGAAAGAAGCAGCCGTGGACGCGGAAAAAAATTCGTGGGGCCATCAGACCAGCGCCCGCGTGGCTGTGGCTATGGCTCTGGCTCTGGGACAACTCGGCTCGTCTGATTGGCGATTTGCCTCTATCCGCTGCCCACACGTCTGATTGTCATACACCGATACACGGTTGCCTGCACTGGGCTCATCCTTGGCAGTCAAAAACGTGGAATATGGGAAACATTCACGTACCTGTTTTGAGAACATTTGCGTTTCTACATTATAAAATATTGTCTAAGGCTGTGTTTAGTTGTAGAAATTTGGATTTTGAGGCTACTGTAGCACGTTCGTTTTTATTTGGCAAATAGTATTCAAACATGGACTAATTAGGCTTAAAACGTTCGTCTCGCAATTTCCCACCAAACTGTGCAATTAGTTTTTCTTTTCGTCTACATTTAATGCTCCATGCACGGGCCGCAAACATTCGATGTGACAGGAAATGTAGCAAATTTTTGGAAGCTAGGGTGAAACTAAACAAGGTCTAAAGTTCATGTTCTCCTTCTCGTTGCGTGTTCACGTTCCCTTCCAGCTAGGATGCTAACGTATAATGTTTTTGGGATGCTTAAAGACCCTCATAATGTTTGCTCCAAGTAGCGCCAGAATACGAGAGAGAGGATTGGAGCGTTGCTCCGCACGCTGCAGCTAGTGGTGCCAACACCAAAAAAATAGGAGCTAGACAACTTCTTGCCTCGGTGCCAACTATACAGAGGCCGGCCGGACTCCTGCGTGCTCCGGCTCCTACACTGTAGCGACACTGTAGCCGAAGCCGAAGGAGAAAAAAAGAGCTTCTTCCCCTCAGAATGGCTATGTGAGAGAGAAAACGAAGAGAGAGAAAATCGGCTCTGATGAACAGTATTCACACAGGACGTGAACAATACATAGCAGAGAGGGAGCCGGAGCCGCCCGAAGCTGCAGCAAAGGGGCCAGAATATTATCTTCTACTTTCTTGCATCTCTCTACGACCCCAACTTACATCAATAACACAGATATGGTGGATCCCGTAGTGATTCAGACGTTTTACGCATCAAGTATACTTTTTACTGTGGCCTTTGCTTTTTTTACTGGCACGTACCACTCTATACTGGAGGATGAGTCATTCAAGTTGATGCGACCCCTCTGGCTCTTACTCTCATTCATTCAGTTCGTCGTAAACGATCGTAGATTATTTACTGCTGGCTGGTTTGATGTGAGAGAAAAATATCGTTTCAGCTTATAATCCACGATCGTATACGAGCAAGCGAACAGGCTGATTGATTTTGCTTGAGATGGATGCTAAACTTGCCATCCTTGTGTATAGACTTGTCGGATACCGCAAAAAGGGGTACCCTAAGCAAGAATCAAAAATATTGTTTAAACCTTGTAAAAACCAAAGCCGAAAGACTACCGCAAGGTCTCAGCAGATTCTCCGATTCGCCCGAGGCCTTACGCCGAAGCCTCATGCGAAAGGCCAAAAGCTCCCCGCCCCGCCGAGGCCCTCTCGCCGAGGCCCCGCCCCGAAAGGCCTCGGACGGGATGTTAATTCTCCGATTTGCTCGAGACTGGGCTCGGCAAACAACCTCGTTACCTCCGTCCCGACCGAACTCCTCTGACAAAACGTCACGTCTGGATTAATGCGCCCAACTACCTCAAGCAGAACGCGGCCCAGACGCTGGTACAAAGGCGGCAGAGCGACCGACGGACAGAGACCGGGCGCAGTTAGGGTTACTCGCCATCGTGCTCATCATCGTGGTCCCCATCGACACCCGTCTCGTCTTATGCTACCTAACCCCTGCGCCAAGGACAAAGCGGCGTGGAATGTCAAGTCCAGGTCCCTGTAGTCTCAGCAACAGCAGGAGATCCCAGTTGCTCGTTCTCCGCCTCGTCCGAGACCCCCCGGCAGGGCCTCGGACGTACTGTTCCTTCTCCACCTCGGCCGAGGCCGGGCTCGTCCCGCATCCTCGTCGCCTTCGCCTCAACTATCCCCCTAGCAGGCTGTCCCATCCATTTAATGCACCTGAATGCACCCGCTACGTCAGCCACGACCGGCAGGGTACAGCAATAGGAGCGATGGGACCACGGTCAAATCTCCTTTTTTACCATGCCCTGCACTTTTCCACCTAAACCAGATCACTATAGCCTCGAAATCAGTGCATAGGCCCAACTGCTCCCTCCAGGGCCTCGGCAAATCAGGTCTCGGTGCGGTCAGCTACAAACACCAGCTAGGGCCTCGACAAATCAGGCCTCGGCGCGGTTAGCTACAACCCGCCAGGCCTCGGCACTCCACCAGGTCAAGAGTCCACCAAAGCACGACATGTCTCCGGCCATGGAAGTCATACTGACTAGACGTCGACAAGGACTCCCACGACCTCAACCATATCGAACCTGGCCAGCACGGCGCGCCAGCCAAGTACCGATCTCCATTCCCAACGCCATGCTGCTACAGGACTAAACTACAGTAGGCTCCACGTGTAGCTCACTCATGTACTCCTGCCTCCTTCCTTGCGGTTATAAAAGGAAGCGGCCAGGGATAGCTCAAAAAAGAAGAGACGATAGAACCGCGCTCCCATATTCGCCCTAGACACATCCTGTTACACCCACGCTCCCAAGCTGCTTGAGAGCAGCGTCTCAAGCACCTTGCACCATCCCACACCGAGACCTAGGACTAGCTCCCTCTCTCACCCAGCTTGTAACCCCCTACTACAAGCATTTCGGTGTAAGGAATACAAGACCGATCTCTCAGACTGGACGTAGGGCACCAATTGCCTGAACCCATATAAACCTTGTGTCTCTTTGCATCACCATCTAGGATTAGGGGCACACAGTTCATATTTACTGGTTGGTTGAGGACCCCCCGGTCCGAAACACCGACAGTTGGCGCGCCAGGTAGGGGCCTCTGCGTGTTATCGTGATCGTCCCAACAAGTTCCGGATGGCTAACCCCATACGCCCACTACGTCTCGGCATGGTGATCTGGTTTGGGAGCCTAGAATTCATGTCTCTAGGATGTGAGTACGATATGGTACTCCTCACACCCAGAGACCCACCGGCCGGCGACGACGTCACGCATCGGCAGCCCAGGCGCAGACGGCGCCCGGGCCACCGCTCTCTTCACGCTCGCCAGGCACGACGCGAGCGGGACTACTCCGACGCCACACGAGCTCGGCGCTGCGCGCCACACTCCGTCGACATCCCATGCCCCGCTGTTGGTACAGAGTCCCTGGCTGGGGACCTGTCTAGCCTAAGCCTGGGCAGGGGAAGGACACCAGTAGCGCGCGGCGACGTCCCGTCGTCAAGCTCTGCCCCGCCACATCCTGAGAAATCAACTCAGGCGGAGCGGAGCCCAGCGGTGGCACCATCCCCATACCCCTTCGGGCTGAAAAACATCGCCGCCGCCTACGCTTTCGCTTACACCTCCGCGCACGCGGAACCCTCGGAACACCACCAACGATTCGCCCTCGACTTCTCCACCACAATCTCGACCCACACCCACACTAACTCATCGGAGGAAGATGAGGCATGGGCCAGAGAGGACTTCTCCGGGCTTCGTGACCCCGAGGCTATGCGTCGCTTCTTGGCCGCGAGCGACTACTGCTTCGGCTACTCCGACTCCGATGACGAAAGCACTTATGATCCCACTCGAGAGTGTTTCCACGTTGGGCTCAGAATGCCAGGGGCAAGTAATGAGGGTGAGAGGGCAGGCAACCGCTCCCCACTCCGCCAAGGGGCGGGCGATGCCACACCCTCGCTCGTCGAACTCCGGGCGGCGCGGAACGTGAACGTCGCCCCCGAGGATCTCCGACGCCTAGACCTAGAGCAGCTCCGTGAGCTCCTGGCAAAAGTCGACCAAGATCGACTCCTGCTGCAGCAGCTCCGAGACACTCTTGAGCAGGAGCAACAAGGTCGCGGTGATGGCGGAGGGGCCCGGCAGAGGGCCCACGACGTGCACCGCCGCATCAACAACGACGAAGCAAGTGAGCAACCCCCAATCTTCAATCGCTCTAGCCATAACATTGCGGCGGCGGCGATGCTAGTCCGAGCGATGCCCGAGCCCTCTACCATGGAGGGGCGATGGGTCCGTAGCGAGCTCCGAGACCTTCTCGAAACCACCGCAGTACAGCAGGCCGAAAGCTCCGTGTCTCGGCGACATGAGAACATCTCGAAGCGGCCCTTGGTGCACGATCGCCTCAAGGCCCCCTCAATCCACGACCGCCTCAGCGACCGACGCGAGGCACAAGAGGACCACGATGTGGTCAGCAGGCGACGGTGCCACGACAACGACGGGCTCGCCCGAGGCTACCAGCCACACCGAGGTGGCCGCTACGACAGCGGGGAGGACCGCAATCCTTCCCCTGGGCTGCCTGGCCCTAGAGTATTCCGCAAGGCCATCCGCAGCGCTCCATTCCCTATCCGGTTCCAGCAACCGGCCAATCTCATGAAATACAGTGGCGAGACCAACCCCGAGCTGTGGTTGGCCGATTACCGCCTGGCTTGTCAGCTAGGTGGCGCGAATGATGACCTGCTCATCATCCGTAACCTCCCCTTGTTCCTGTCAGACTCGGCGCGAGCCTGGCTCGAACACCTCCCTCCCTCACAGATTCACAACTGGCGCGACTTGGTCAAGGTCTTTGTCGGGAATTTCTAGGGCACATACGTGCGCCCCGGGAACTCCTGGGACCTCAAGAGTTATCGCCAGAAGCCAGACAAGTCTCTCTGAGATTTCATTCGGCGCTTTTCCAAGCAGCGCACCGAGTTGC